GGGGGTTGAGAGGGGGGTTGAGAGGGGTGGGAGTGAAAGGGGGTGTGAATGAGGGGGTGGGAGGGGATTTCACCGGGGGGCAGGGGAAATAGATGATGATGGAATTTGGGTTTGAGATGGGGGAGGGTGAGGGGGCGGTTAACGTAGGCAAGTGCTAAGAGAGGTGGCGGACAGAGGAGGTGTGGAGGAGATTGAAAATGCCGCGAAGGTGAGGAGGAACGTGAAGTGACGAGGAGGGAGTATTTGGAAAAAAGGGGGGAAGGGACGATATATGTTTTTAATAATACCAAAAACGACCACGCCGTCATCCCCTTTCCCACACCTACACACACGCACACACACATACACACATACACGCACACACACATACAGACACACGCACACACCCTAGCCCTCTAGCTCTAGCTTACTCTCTTCATCCCAGATCACCCACCTGACCCAAGCCAGCGTATACCAGTCACTGTACGGCCCAGGGCTGTACTGCTGTTGTCGTGACTGTACGGCATCTGCCACCAGTTGTCGTGCGACTGCTGCCCTCCAGTTGGGCAGTTGGGTCGACTCCAGGGAGGACCACTGGGCCGCATTCGGCGAAGAAGTTGAAGCTAAAGTGCTGCCGTACAGGCCGGCCAGGAAGAGAGCCCATGTGTTGAGGTACAGATCCGTTCTGGAGGTGGTGGAGTGAAGATGGACCATGTGGTGGTGGTGGTGATGATGGTGGTGATGGTGATGGTGGTGGTGGTGATGGTGATGGTGGTGATAGTGATGGTGGTGATGGTGGGTGAGGAGGGGAGGGGAGTGGGAGGGGAGGGGAGGGGAGGTAAGGACGGTAGGAGAGGAAGGGAGGGGAGGAAGGGAGGGGAGGCAGAGGGAACGGGGGATTGCCTTCGTCGCAAACACCATCCGTTCTGCTGTACGTGTCGTACAGCAACAAATGGTGGGGGTGGTAAGGCGGAGGTATAACAGCGGGAGAACGAGAGAAGAAAGACAGCCAAGGAGGTAACCGCCATAACCGCCATAACCGCAACGATAAGGTTTTAGGCGACGAAGCGGTTCCGAAAAAGGTGGGGAGGAGGTATGTGCCAATGGTGGTAAATACCAGTGGCAAAGAGTACAAAATCGTGTATGTTGTGTGTGTGTGTCTGCGGGGGGGCTTGTATGTGTGTATGTATGGTGCATGGGTGTCCCCCCAGTTCCCCCCCTCAGTTGCCGTACCCCTAACCCCTAACCGCTAACCGCCCGTACGATCCCCTACCTCGTCGGCCTCCAGTTGTACCACCTGGTCGACTCACTCCACATAAGGCCCAGGGAGGGGTCCGTCAGCGTTGACAGATCGGACAACCCGCCACTAGACAACTCCAAATAGCCGGAACTGATGGGCTGGTCATAGTACGACAGTACGGCGGGTAATGTCGCCCAGAGTACGGCAGGTACCGCGGATGCGTACGACCTGGTGAAGCGATGGAGAATGTGGGGAAGGGGGGAGGGGGAGGGAGTGGAAGGGCAGGAGGGACAGGAGAATGGGGAAACGGTCTTTTTGTGCGTTTTAAACACGTACGGAGAACGTGTACGGCCAGGCGTACCAGTGGCGGCAGCTGTGTTTGTTTGTGTGTCCTTCTGGACTGGCAAGAGGCTCGTACACTTGCAAATCGCGGCTCAGATCATAAAAACATACATACGCATACATACATACATGCCGTACCTGTCGCTGTCAGTCTCCTGCAGCACGCTATAGATGGCGGCAATGGCCGGGAAGTACCCCACACCGGCCGTTAGGTTGAGACCGCCTGCAAGTCGTCCCGACAAGGGAGAGGGCCCCCGAGGCGGGGGAGGGAGGGGCCGGTGTCAGGCCCGGTGAGATACTTCTAACCTTCACACACATACATACGCATACACATACACATACACATACACACACATACAGATACAGTGCATTTCCTCAGGACGAGTAGTAGTAGTAGGAAGGGTGGTAGCAGTGGCAACAGTAGGAGGAGGCGGAGGAGGAGGACCCGTGCCACAGCTTTCAATGTCCCGCCCCCTCTTTTCATTCCCGCTCCTTCCCCCTCTTTCCCCCCTACCTCCCCCCCTCCACCTCCCCCCCCTTCTCCTCTCTCGGCTCACCGCTTCCCGGCACCGCGTCCGGCAGTGTGAGCCCCTCCTGCCACTGCACTGCCGTACCCCCACTTGCAGGGCTGGAGGACGGGGGAGGAGGGGGTG